CCAGCCTGAACTGCACGGCAAGACCCTGTCTCAAAAAGCCAAAAAGAAAAAAATACAAATTTGTGGCCAGCCTAGGCAACTTAATAAGATCCTGCCTTCAATTAAAAAAAAAAAAAATGTCTTTACAGGGCTAGTGATGTTACTAGTGAGAGTACTTGCCTCGCATGTGCTCAGTACACAGTATCTCGCACACACAAACACAGGCACTATATATAAATATAAATGGCATGTGTCTATGTGTATACATATTGAAACATATCAATAACAGAATAACCATCATTTTTAAACAATTCATAAATTTACAGTGAAGCATCAGGAAGGAAACAAAAACCCTTTGAAACAAGCAAATATAATAATAAACAAATATTCACTCTCCCTAGTAATAAAAACACAAATGAAGTTGGATGAAGTACCAATTTTTGCTTATCAAATGGGCAGAAAGAAACATGATGGCAAATTTCTTCAGATACTGCTGAGACTGTGTTCACCCTTTGATAAGCAGTTTGTTTCTCCATCTCCAAAGTCTAAAATATCCTGTGGTCGTTAGAGCTATTTCAGTCGCTCCACAAGTACCACTGTGGCTCTATCACATGCCAGGCCCTGGACCAGGTGCCGCAGGGGCAGCCAGGCAGCAGTGTGGGTCCTGACAACAGTGGTGGCCAAGCCAGCCCTGGAATCACAGGCTGGAGACCCACGTGTGAGAGAAAGGACACATGGTCCTCGTGGAGGTCACTGTTTCAGGTTTCCTGTTATTCAGCCCAGCTTAATCCTATTTATACAGAAGGTAAGTGAGTTTCTCCAGCTGGTGCCTGGCTTCTTAAGGAAGTAGTACAAGCAAGGTCACCAAACCAAGTGAGAATGTGGGAAGGAAGTGGAGTTCAAGTGGAAAGGGCATGAAATTATCACTATGAAAAGGGAGACATGGGAGAAACAGCCGCACAGCTAGGCACTGAGGAGTTCTGCTATGTGCTGCCAGAAATAGACACAGAATCCATCTACATTTCAGGAATAACATGCAGTACAACACTGTTTATTATACAGAACACGCACGCCAACCAGCAAGATAAGTCATATAGCTTATGTTTTTAAACGTTTGGGCGTGGGCCAACAAGATAGCTCAGAGGACTAGAGCGTCTTCTCAGGCAAGCTTAGGTAAAAGCAGGAACCACAAAAGGATTCCGGGGGCTACACGCTGCGCCAGCCATGCCCCCAGGGCCAGCTGAGCCAGCCAGAGTGCACGAGTCCAAGCTGCGTGGCGAGACCCAGCGTCCATGAGACCGAGCTGTGTAGC